GAGACTTTCCCCCATCCTTAAGAAAGGATGGTAAGAAAGAGGAGTCTGGGAAAGAGTCCCTATTTATACCTCTTCTCTGAGATTTTATGTCCAATCTCCAACTACAGGAGAAAAGAATTCTGAGTCATTGAATTTTTTACCACAAAAGATCCTTTTCTGAGTAATAAGGAATTGTCAGTCACCACCTCTGCTGTCTGCAAACCCCTGAGAATCTATTACTGCCATCAGCAACCCAGGCTAACTTTCCCCAAATCAAGCAATTGGGGACTTAAAAAAAAAAAAAAAAAAAAAATCTAACACATACACATATGTGTGGGAGGGGAGAGTACATTTAAGAGCACACTGCTATCAGGTAATTTTAAGGATCTACTAACACTGGCAAAGTAACAGAGAACTACATCTGTTTCTGCTTGAGAAAACGCTTCAATAATATCCTGTTTCTAGAATACTACATAAATTCTTGGCATGAAGCCTTCAGATGTTTCAGGGGTGCTATTTTCCTTTTCTGAGATATAAGGGCCCAGGAAGGAGAATACAGGCCACACGGGAGCCTGTGAAATCTGCCCAAGTCTCACTACAGTTGGGGCATTTTCTGCTGTTGCTATACCAATCAATACCTTCACAGAGATTCAAGTGTCCCCAAGCCCTGACAGAAGCACAGGTGGCCTTTCACAGCCGAAGTGACCCAGATCAGCACCACTGGAGGTCTACCAGCAGAGTGGAGGCTTCCAACCTTTGAAGAATCAGAGGATGAGAGAGCAAACAGAGGAACCCTGCTGGTTTCTAGGCCAAAGGACTAAAAGGGAAAGAAAAAGGACACCATCACAGACACACATGAGCACAAAAAAAGGAAACATCCACAGATGCCTGACAGGTTTTACTGCTAAAACCTAAGCCCTGTAAGAGGTACCTCTTTCCCCAGTGCCTCTACTTTTTCAAATAAAGGTTTTACACAGACACTCAAGAACTTACAAGCATCCAAGGGAACAATGCCTGTTGCCTTGAATTCCAGCAAGAGTGGGAGTGAACAGATCTTGATGCTCAAGGACAGTCACCCCAGCGCTGTCCTGGAATTGCTTCATTGGTCTCAGATTCACAGCTGTTGCAGCTTCAAATACTCATCACAAACCCCCCGCCCCAAACTTCAAGGTGCATCCTTCATTCCCACTGGTATGAAAATAGCCCTCCCACATTACAGGCATCATTTCTCACTGCTCTAGTTTCCAAGACTTCTGCAATGTGGCAACATAACTTAAGAATATTAATTTTTTAGGGTGCCTGGGTGGCTCAGTGGGTTGGGCCGCTGCCTTCGGCTCGGGTCATGATCTCAGGGTCCTGGGATCGAGTCCCGCATCGGGCTCTCTGCTCAGCGGGGAGCCTGCTTCTCTCTCTCTCTGCCTGCCTCTCTGCCTACTTGTGATCTCTGTCAAAAAAAAAAAAAAAAAAAAAAAAGAATATTAATTTTTTAGAAACCATTCCACTAAATGAAATCTCACTATGGTGGGATATGTGGGTGGCCCCTAGATTGAAGCCATCTTGAGGAGAAACCTGGATAAAGAGTCTCTATTATCATACATGCATTTGTCCCAGTGTTTACCCTTAACCCAACTGTCCTAATACTCCACACTCAGGTCTGCACCTGAGCAATATCTGCTTTCAAATATTAAAAAAAATAAGGTACTGGGCTTCTTCCTCTACTTGTTCTTTCCCCTACTGCTTAAGGGAAGATCCCTAAACAAGACTTCCTTACTATCCAGGAAGATAGAAGAGGGAAAATGAATCCTGCTTGTCGGCTTCGGCTAGGAGATCACATGTCAATTCAGGAGCTCAGTAAAATGCTTCATGCATGGCAATTACACAAGCACCACCAGTGGACCTGCTGACATTCAGGCCTTCAAGTGGGCACTGCAGGCCTCTAAGTGGGCACTATAATCCTGCTGCCTCTCAGTGAACTGTTGCTTGTACATGGGTAAGTAGAGGGGGAAAACAGCACTTAACGCTCTCTGGTCTTCCTTCTCTACCCAACAAGCAGCTCTGCTAAAGACTTCTCCACAGTTCACTTCTTTCAGTACAGAAATGAGGAAGCTTGTGTGACTAATTTTTTTAAAGATACTGTAATCCTCTGAGCCCACAGCCAGACACCAGGAGAGTTGACCTCGAACAACACAGGTTTGAACTGTGTGGGTCCACTTCCACACAGATTTTTTTACAGTATGGTATTATAAATGTATTTCCTCTTGTGATTTTCTTAACATTTTCTGTTCTCTGGCTTACTTTATTGTAAGAATATAGTATATAATACATGTAACATACAAAATAATCAGCTAATCAGCAGTTTATGTTATCACTAAGGATTCCTGTCAATAGTAGGCTATTAGCAAAGTTTTGGGGAAGTCAAAAGTTATACGTGGATTTTTTACTGCATAGGGGTCAGTGCCCCTAACCCTGTGTTCTTTAAGAGTCAACTGGAGTTACCTGGTTGTCAAAACAGCTGAGGATATGGGAAGAGTGCATAAGGAATGATGTAAAATATAAAGCAAGTCTTTCTCTGGGCTACAGAAAAGCACGGAAGCATGGAGGGAATGAAATAATGCTTAGTAGCAATAAACCTAAAATAAGTTCTTACTTTTAAAAAGCCAGGTGAATGATTACCTTTGGAGGGTGCATATATGTATATGGAGTGGGAGGGTAGCTGAAGAAATTGCGCCCCAGCAACAGCAAAGGAGGAAATCCCCTGCCAGGAAACACACCATTACATAAGAGCACAAGTTCAGTCACCACAGGATGGAGACCTGCCAGGAAACCAAACAATGCTGAGGTCTCTTCTCTACCAGCCCGCATCTGCAACACCTCACTCTACATTTCTTCTCCTTTCTGTTGCCTAAATTCTGGGCTTTGAGAAGGCAGTCCAGTCCTCGGAAAATAAGTTGAACTGTGCCAACTGACACTGGGTTTGATATCAGGGTTTAAACGTTTGCGGGGTGGGGTGGGAGACAGCCCTACTCTGAGCACACAGTACTACAGTATCCAAGTCACTCTGCAGACAGGAAGTCCTAAGTATCAGTCCTCATACAGTAGTGTCCTCTAATTTAATTAACTTGACAGCAGGTCCTTAAGCAGCAAATGGTCACCACTTAAAACTAACAATATAAACCAAAACACACTGACTTAAAAGACTGAACTCCATGATGGCATGGTTGTGTTCTGTCTTATTCATTGCAGTATCCCCAATACCTAGCACAGTGCCTGACATACATTCCGCATCACTTAAACACTTGGGAATACTGAATGAAAGAATGAATAAACAATTGAATATTGTGCACATGCCCAAAGTGTGTACCTTGGAGAATTAGGGATGCTCAAGATCTGAAAAAGAGCTTGAAGAAGTAGTGCTTTGAAAAACTTCTAGAAAGACTCCAGCTTCAATTTTATTAAATGGTAAGCAAATTAGAAGCTAATAGTATAATCTAGCAGTTGAAGTGTGGTCTCCACCATGAGCTATTTTTGTGACCCTAGGCAAGTTATTTGGTTTCGGTTTCAACTGGGGGAAAAAAAAAAAAAAGGAAATCATAACAATATCCAACACAAAAGTCTGTTATTAAATGAGATCAAGAAAGTAAACTTCTTGGCATAAAGCTTGGTACACGTTCCCCAAGAACTGTTCCTATTATTGCTATTATTGTTGCTTTATTAAATACCTCCTTTACTAAGGAGGAGGTAGACCTACTCCTGTCCCTCCACCCAACCAACTGTGAAGATTTTCATTTCTGGTTAAATATGCATCTAGCTAAAAATGCAAAGCCCAGAAAATTCAGAACTCAACGCCAAGAACATGTCTGTACTAGCCTCCACTAGATGGTGACAATTTGGGTGTGGAATTCCCAAAACAGAAAAGGTGTGTGTGTGTGTGTGTGTGTGCATCATTCATACACACATTTTACACCAGAGGAATGAAAAGAGCAAAAATGAATTAACCACTGCAAAGGATGGAAAGACACACTTCTACCTCTGCCGATCTAGAAAGGGGGAGGAAAGGCCCACAGTTAATTGAACTGGGTAGTTCTACTGCACCTTTGTACAAAGCACACACAAGCCCAGTAAGCAAGAGCAACAAAGCAGCGAGCTCCCCACCACCAAGAGTACATTTTGTGGAACAGCAGTACTAGGCCTCCGGGCCAGGACATGAACTTCCACCTAAGGAGTCAAAGACTTGATTTTGACGCCTTTTTCGTCTTGGGTCTTAACAGCCCCAACCCCACCGCCGGCTAATCTCGTTACAGGTAACTTTCCACTTCAGCAGCCCCACAGCAAAACCAAGAGGGAGGGTCACACCTGCACTATTATTTGGAGTCCCTAAAAACCAGAAGCAAAAAAGAAAGTCTACATATATAAACAGGAAGTGATTTCGGTGAGTCTCAGCCCGGATAATAAGTAAAGTTTTTGCGATTAAAGAGCAGATGAGGCGCAGGGGCTCCAGAAAGCTCCGACTGCTCCCACACACGGACTCCAAAATCTCCTCAGGAAATCCACCGTCGCCAAGCCACCCTGCCCCGCGCAGCACCCGCAGCTTTGATCGGCCGGAGAGGGAAAGTAACAGTAATAAGCAAGGGGCCTCTGCCTTCATGTTACCCCGGCGACCCGCACTGTCTGGTTTCCGCTCTGACTCCCGGCCAGGGAGCGCGACCCCATACGCCGGGCGAGGCCAGGCGACGCGCCTCGGTCTCGGCCACCAGATCCGGCCGCAAACCGGCCGTCCGGTCCTCTTCCCGGCCTGCGCACAGCCCAAGCCGCTGCCCGCTCAGCCTCCCCCACCGCCCTCCCGGCCCCGCGCGCTGCCGGCCGGGCCGGCGGACACAGCAGCCGACGCTGGGCGGCCGGCCGGGACTCCCCCGCGTACGTCCCTGGAGGTGCGCGCCGACCCCGCGCCCCGGACAGCCTGTCGGCCGCGCCAGTGACACAATACCCGGCCTCGCCGCCCCCCAGCCGCAGTGACAACTCACCCGGGGAACCGCGCGGCGACCTCCGCGAGGGGGGGCGCTCGAAGCTTCCGCGGCGCTGGGATCCGCTCTGCCGCCTGCGCGCGCCCGCAACCCTCTCGGGTCTAGGCGAGGCCCTGAGTGCCCTTGTCTGGCTGGCGCTGGCCAGTGCTACGGGAGAAGGCGGCGGGAGGCGGGGGACGAGGCTGTCGCCGGCTTACAGAATGGAACGCGGCGGCGGCGGCGGCAGCGGCGGTGGCGGCAGCAGCAGCGGCTCCCGCGTCACTAGCCCAGCTGTACCGCGCGGGCGGGGGAGAACCGCGGAGGGGGGAGGGGAAGGGGCGGGCAAGGGGCGGGGTCAGGCGCGCACGCAACAAGCGCCGGCGTCGCGCCGCCGGGACCGCCCCTCTGGGAGGCCCTGCCGGTCCACGGCGGCCAGCACGCACGCGCCGCCGGAGGGGCCGCAGGCCCCGCGGGAGGCAAGCCCCGAGCCCGGACGGGGCGGGGCGGGGCGGGGCGGGGCGTGGGGGGGGGCGGTGTGGGGGACTGTTTAAAGGGACAGTCACGCCTACTGAGCTTGAGTGGCTCGGGCTGTGGCACGGGCTCGACCTGTGCCGCGTTTGCCGTGCGCTCTCTAGTTCTTTTACTATTATTATTTTGTGGATTTTTTGGATGTTTTTTGGATTATGGGATTACTATTATTTGCAAATAATTGGTTTGTTCTCAGGTTCACAGGGCGCTTTCACGCATGTTGCCTTATTAGCTCTTGAATCGCTTGCCAGACCTAGGACTGATGCAGGTCATCATCTCTCTTTTAAGGAGTACTCAAACTGTGTAGTGTAGTTTACCGAGCTTGAAATTGCCCCACGGGGGTGGGTGCGTGTAAAAAAGCACATTCGGGATCCCGCCTCCAGCCATTCTGATTCAGGAGAACTAGGATTGGACTCAGGGATCTATTTTAAGAAGCATTTCTCTCTGTCTCCCTCTCTGTCAAATAAATCTTAAAAAAAAAAAAAAAAAAAAAAAAGAAAGAAAGAAAGGAAAGGAAAAAGAAAAGAAGAAGCATTCCCCAAAGTGATTTTTCAGCACACCGAAAGCACTGGACCCATCTCAAGGTTGAGAAAACTGTACTTAAGAGCAAAGAGCAAGGATCGGCAGAGTGGGGGCTAGGACCACACCATACTCCTAACTTTATCTCCCATCCTGAGCCTTGCCTCTTTGGGCTGTTTTCCAGGAGATACTATGCGAACGGTTTGTGCACCATATCGCTACGCTGTTTGTTGGTGATCTCACTGCAGCCCTCGGAGGTAGTCCTCCGTTTGTGTGTTTACAGGGCTTGTGGCCCATTGATGGCGATGATGGTGACTTTATCTTTGTGCCCCAGGACCTTGCACAGTGCCTATTCAGAAGTGCTCCTATTTGACAATCAGTGCCCGAGTTTGCCCTTGGACCCACAGACTTCGTCTTCTTGCAGCTTAGGCCAGGCAGGCCCCTCCTCCCAGATGCCCTTTGGACAGGATACTCCCCTCTCAGGGCCTCTCGCCTAACCTAGTTTTAGTAGGTTCCTTGGAAAAGTGCTGTGAATTAACAGGGCATGCCCTTAAGGTAGCTAAAACCAGAGCCCATGCTCAGGCACCCATCCCCAAGAGAACCTTCCCCTCATGGACCCCACAGAACCTATGGCTTTAGCTACCTTTTCCATATGTCTGTCCTTGCTCTGCCTTCTTTCTTCCTTGGCTTCCTGTTGGGCATCCCTCCCATCCTGCTCATTTCCCCTCTCTGTTGGGGCTGCAGGGCCCAGATCACCAGGGGGTTGGAAAGCAAGTATTAGATTGGCCTGGGTCTGCAACAGAGCTCAGCAACCCTATGTGGGCTGCAGGAACACCCCAGGCACACCCAATGCCAGGAAGGGGACAAGAGAAAGGGTAGAGAAAACAAATGGAGAGAAGAAAAGGTGGGCAGATTACCCACAAAGGCAGCTTGGTGTAGTGGAATAGAGGTTAGGCTGGGCTTCTGAGCCCTTGGCTTTGTACTACAGTCAGTTTGGCCACTGAGCAGCTTAGTGACCTCATACAAGACCCACCATCTCTCACTGCCGGTCTGCAACTCACTTCCTGAAAATCCTCGCCTGGGATCTTCCAGTGTCCACCGAATGAAATCCAACTCCCAAGCAAGGGCTGTGTCCAGTGCTCTCCAAAATCTGTCCCAAGTCCCCTCCATCCTTCCACACACCCCACATACCACCTGTGCCCTAACCTCTCGCATGCCACCTACTTTTACATCTCAGAGCTTGTGCCCACACTGTTCCCTATGCCTGGAATGTCCTCTCCAACAACAACCCTTTGCAACTTCTCCAGAGCTCTCCTTCTTTTCTGTGGCATTTTGGACAAGCCTCAGTTTAGCTTCTATTTCCTTCTGTGTTATATTGCAGGGTCAGCGGTGAGTCTCTTTTCTCCTTTTGTAAATACTGGCTCCCCAGCCTCTCCTCTCCTCCCATTTCCCTGCCTGCCTGAATTCCACTGGCCTCCTATAGAACTGAGCAAAAGTCTCTTTACATTCTGCTATGGGTCTTGCTCATTTTTCCTGCAACATTGGGGTGATATTTCCTGGCCGAGGTTAAGTATTTTTATGCCATTGAAAAGATAATTCTTAAAATGAGGGTTAAGAATAATTTAGATGTAGAAATTCTAATTTGGGAAGAACCATTTTTTAATTAAAAACTGTCTTCAGGGGCACCTGGGTGGCTCAGTGGGTTAAAGCCTCTGCCTTCGGCTCAGGTCATGATCCCAGGGTCCTGGGATCGAGCCCCGCATCGGGCTCTCTGCTCAGCGGGCAGCCTGCTTCCTCCTCTCTCTCTGCCTGCCTCTCTGCCTACTTGTGATCTCTGTCTGCCATAAATAAATAAAATCTTAAAAAAAAAAAAAACCGTCTTCAATTTTTTTAAATTTGACAGCTTTATTGAGGTCCAGTTCACATACCATATAATCACAATTTAAATGTCTAATTATATATTTAAAGTGTATAGTTCAATGGGTTTTAGTATATTTACAGAGTTGTGCAACCATTACCACAATCAACATCTTCATGATCCCAAAAAGAAACTCTAAACCCATCAGCAGGCACACCCTAACCCCCTCCACCCCCCCAACCACAACCAATAAGCTACTATCTTCCTCCAGAGATTTGCCCATTCCAGACATTTCATATAAATGTCTCATATAGTATGTGGACTTCAGAATTAATTTTTTGTATCTTATGGCTACCATAATGATTTTTAAGGCCAGAGTTAATTTTTTATTTTCATTTATTTATCGAGACCCTACCTATCCTAAAAGGACTTAAACTGGCTCTTGGAGTTGGTAGTATTCCTGGGGCCTCCCAGATTTCCAGTACAAATCTTAATATTCTAAGCCTGGATATTGGAAGATGGCTTAGAGTTGGGCCCAGGTTGGTGGCGAATAGTCAATCATGCCAGTTTGTATGGGGCTGTGGGGTCCCTGGGACTTGGGACTTCTGGTGCTAAAACTAGGAGAGTCCTAGCAAACTGAAATGAGTTGGTCACTCGTATGAGTCACAGGGCATGGTTTTCTTTCTCCCTATTTCAGGAATCCAACGAGGAGCTTCCCCTTCATCACTGAAAGGGCAAGAAGTAAAGGAGAGAAAAGGTTGGGAATTAATACTTGGTATCTGTGTTGCTGTCGTTGTTATGTTTAACAGCAGGAATGACAGCTACCATTTATTGAGGACCTACTGTGTGCTAGCTACTTGGTCAGCACAACTTTATACATGTAGCCACTAATTTTGACAACAATCCTTCAAATTAAGTATCATCATCACCATTATACACATGAGGAAACAGTCTCATGGAGATTTTTGTAACATTAAAAACTACATGGGACACCTGGGTGGCATAGTCGGTTGAGCACCCTCTTGGTTTCTGCTCAGGTTGTGATCTCAGGGTTGTGAGATCAAGCCCTGTGTCAGGCTCTGCACTCAGTTCGGAGTATGCTTGAGATTCTCTCTCCCTCTGCCCCACGCCCTCCCCCCTGCTTCTCTGAAATAAATAAATAAATCTTTAAAAAAACAAAAAAAACTCCAAAGCATGCATGTTGCAAAACAAGAATTCATTCTTGTTTGTCCAAAAGTTGTACTTATCCAAATACATCGTATGTATATATGGCCCTTCCTACCCCCAATAAAAATAGCAAATAATGCCAGAAATTGTCCTCACATATTTCTTGATCTTTTTGAAAGTGCTTTCTTGCGTACCAACTTATGTTATCTGCGCAACATCCCCATAAAACGAGACATTAATTAACCCCCTATTTTGACCAACAAGGAAGTTGAGACACCGAGCAGGTTACCAGCTTGTCTAACCTCAGGCGGGAGTTAGCGTGGGGTTTCTTGTTTTGATTCAAGATTCCTTGGGTAGTCTCCAAAGCCCCGTGACGGTGAATAAGTAAACCCACCTGACCCCAGAGGATCTGGACTCTTCCAGCTATCTTCACACAGGTAGTCAGAGTCCACGATGGGTGGGCCAGGCAGGGCTGAACCGAAGATCTGAGGGGCAGTTCCCACCCTGGGGAGGAAGATCCTGAGGTCAGGTGGTTGGTTGTCTGAATACATAGGCCTGTGCCATCACCCTTCCTCAGATATTCGGGAGCCTATGACCCCAGACATGTCATTCTCAGTGACCAGGCTCGGTGACCCCGGCCCTAGTGGCCATTAGTCAGGGAGATTTGCAGAGGTCAGAGGTCAGAGCAGGGCTGCTCAAGCAAGGAGTCCCTGTCCTGGGAAAAAGGACACCTGAGGCAGTGTGCATCTAATACTGCCCAGTCAGTAAGTCTAAGAAAGTGACCAAAATCCCTCCTGCTTTTCTGAAGCACTGACAAGTCTTTGACATTTTTATCTGGTAAAAATCAGGTGAACTGGATGAAAGCGTTGGCTGGGTTATACACTCAAGCAAAAGCCAAGATGGCAAAGAGAGTGTCTACCTGCTCTGTCTTCAGATGATAACTGTCCAACTCCCCCCTCAACAGGTTCTAGTCACCCTGTTTCCCTGTTTCTACTTTCTGCCCTTTGCCCTGGGGCTGGGCAGTGACTCTGGGAGTCAACCAGCTGGGAAGAAAGGAGGCAGTAGGGGCAGCCCCAGGGCCTGAGGCTCTAGCAGACACAAACCACACCCACGTGGCTCCTGGTCATTTGACACGGCCTTCCCTTGAGGACTTTCTTCCTCCAGACTGCCCGGGCATTCCACTCTCAGGTGACTTCAAGGT